CTGCTGAAATTTGTGCTGGAATTTGTCTTCTTATTATAATTCAGGTTTGTAATGAGCTATTTTGTGTGTAACTGAGACTGGTTAGATACAGCCTAGCTGGAAGGAAAAAGCTATGTCTGGTTGCCATTTATTTATTTATAATGCTAGAAAGCATCAGCCTTTGTATCTTTCTGTCTATATATGAGAAATTCTAAATATTCCATAAAGGAAGAGAAAGTTGGGATAGTTAATACCAAAAATGTTTCGGATGGGAGTGGCTGTTTGATTCAAAATGCAGGAACTCGTAGAATTTGAAAGCAGTAGCTGCTGTTTGGTACCATGGAGGACTTTGCGCTAAATGGCACAGATGCAGCTTTGAGACATTATCCTGTAGAGCAAAGCCGTAAATGCACAAACTTAAACAGTTTTTTGAATAAAAGTGTTTACTGAGTAATCTGTTTGCTAGCATCAGTGTTGAAAAGTCAGAGATCGTTGCCAGGTGAGATGCGCAGGCATTTGTAACGTGAGAGGGCAAAAATACTGCATGCGTGATATTTAGATGAAAAACTTAATGATCACTCTCCAACATGATGAAAATACTGAAGCAGGGAACGAATACATAGTTCTTGACTTGATTTATTCTTGTTTCTGCTCAGTTTTGTTTCTTTCCCCGCAGCTGTTTGTTGCTGGTTTGATTGTGTTGCTGTTAGATGAGTTGCTACAGAAAGGTTATGGCTTGGGGTCGGGGATTTCCCTGTTTATTGCTACCAACATCTGTGAAACCATTGTCTGGAAGGCTTTCAGTCCCACTACCATCAACACTGGCAGAGGTAGGTGTTAGTTACAGCATGTTGCAGTGGATCTATATTATACATACACTGTCAGATGTTTATCGGATGGATATTAAAAAAATGTTTTGATGTGTGATGTTTAACTTATAAAGTCAATTTTCTAACATTGACAATGCAAATGTTGTCTGACTGACGTGAAGATTAACACCCTGCAAGTTTGCCTTTGCTGACTTGAATTGCAGGAGTTAAAATGCGACTTGAAGCCCCTTGACTGAAGATTTTTGGATTTCCAAACTGAAGTAGTCTCGTTGTAGCATCATTTACTCGATAGAAATAGAGAAGATAAGAAATTCTGTACGTTCAGGGGAGTTATTAATGCTCCAGCTGTTGGTGGCTATAGGATACTTTTATAGTTGGTGCCTCCAAATTACTTCAGGCTCGTTTGATTCTTCAGAGACCACCATCTCTTCATTCCTCAGCCAGTCTTTGACATCTGGTTGTCCTGAGACCCTAGAAGTACCAAGTTAAGATGCAGCCTGTTTGCATCAAGAAGTTAACTCATTTAATGTGTACATTTGAAATCCTGAGCCATGTTTTTAGTTTGCTTTCATTTTCACCTGATTTTTAGCAGTTCTGTCTATTGCATTTTATTACTGGTTTTCTAAAGCTATTTTTCTCCTCGTTTATTATTTCTTCCTTCCAATCATCCTCCTGCCCCCAGAAAAGAAAGAAAAAGAACATTTGTTCATGTGCCTGACTTGGGGTTTTTTTTTGTTTTTGTTTTTTTTAACCAGGAATAATGTTTTGGTAGATTATTCTACATTCTATAAGCTAAAACAGAATCCCATATTGTGATATGTTTGTTGTAACAGGATTTATGTCCTATTGTATCTGATTTTACATGTGTCATTCTTAAAATTTCCAAAAGAAAGATACTATTTTTTTAATGCTTTTAATTTATAGATTAAAATTTCTTTTATTTTTTTGCTTCGTGCAGGAACAGAGTTCGAGGGTGCTGTGATTGCATTATTTCATCTTCTGGCTACACGAACCGACAAAGTCCGGGCTTTGCGGGAGGCTTTTTACCGACAGAATTTGCCCAATCTCATGAATCTGATTGCGACAGTATTTGTATTTGCTGTAGTCATATATTTCCAGGTAAAATGAGAAATTCGTCGTAGCAGCTCCGCATGGACCCTAGACACTGCAGTCATTGGGAAATAATGCAAAAGTGAAACTAACTGAAATATCTTAGCTTTGAGTAAGGCACGCTTTTTATTTCAATATTGTTATTTCAGTAACGTACCTCTGTGACAGTACAGCTGTCAAATTTTATAGCCAGACGTACTTGTACTCAGACAGTGATGTAATCTCCCATTCCATGAAATGCCATGCACACTATCAGAGTATTTTTACTAAAAATGGATTCTGGAACTGCAGTGGTTGTATCACACAAATAATATACTTGACATTCGTAGTTGACTTAAAAGAATACCTTTGGACAGAGCTAAAGGGGTCTTGCTTCTTTGGGGTGTGCATGATACGGATTTGTTCTAGAAAACAACCGTGTAATTACTGCATAGCTTACTGTTTTTTCCCTAATTTTCTTGAAATACCTAGCTAGTATTTCTTTTTAAATTTAAGTATCTACTAAAATGGACACTAAAGGAGATCCATATGGTGATTTTTTTTTCTTGTGCGTGTGCCTAAAATGTGATTTTTTTTATTTTTTTTTATTTTTTTTAATTTTTTTTTAATAAGCTGTTGAGTCAGAGTGCTGGCAAAAAAATTAATTACCTGGTTTTCAAATCCATGTGGCTTTTCTTGGGTCTACTCAGATAGGAGCCTGCCCCAGAAAACAGAAGTCTGGGCTTACCACACAAAAGTCTGCTGTTAACTGGCTAGTTACGTTAAAAGCCATTAAAGGCTTTTATCAAACCCTGTTCTATTAAGTGCATTTTAGAAGAATATCATTTAGCAGGTGAGGGATAATGTTTATGTAAAAAGAATGTAACGCAACCAAGCAGTAACACTTACAAATCCGTAAAATTTGTAATCCAGACTGTGGCAGAAAGCCTTTGGGTTTTACCATCTCAGACCTTGCTCTCTGGTCAGGAATAGCTTTTCAGCATACTGGGAATACCTTCCGTCTTGGAAATAAACTCGATGCGTTTGTCTTCTTTCCCGTAGGGATTTCGTGTTGATTTACCTATCAAGTCCGCACGATACCGTGGGCAGTACAGCAGCTATCCGATTAAGCTCTTTTATACCTCCAACATTCCCATCATCCTGCAGTCTGCCTTAGTTTCCAACCTCTACGTTATTTCCCAGATGTTGTCTGTTCGTTTTAGTGGCAACTTCTTGGTGAACTTACTAGGACAGTGGGCAGTAAGTATTTTACCATTTTTTTAACTGCATAAAGTTATACTTATGTATTACTTCAGTGTGAAATCTTGGGATTTAACCAGTAGAAAATCGGAAGGCCTGTTTTTAGCATTTGTCTATAAAAGCTGTTTTAGACATTGAAGAGGAATTCCTCTATAAATACAGGACGGGAATGTGAGAGCGCTGTGAGAAATAACTGCCTTTTTCTTCCCCTCTCACAGGATGTCAGTGGCGGCGGCCCTGCTCGCTCCTATCCTGTTGGTGGCCTGTGCTACTACCTGTCCCCTCCGGAATCCATGGGTGCAATATTTGAGGATCCTGTCCATGTAATAGTTTATATAATATTTATGTTGGGATCCTGCGCGTTCTTCTCAAAGACGTGGATTGAGGTGTCCGGGTCATCAGCAAAAGATGTAGGTGTTCCGATAAACGGGCCTAAATGGTTTCAAACCCTGCCTCTAATTTAGAACGGACTAGCTACTAACTGATCAGTTATTACTCTGACTAATTATCGGGTGACTATGAAACACCACAGCAGTTTCATAAAATGCTGTTTTTTGCAGGTTGCCAAGCAACTCAAAGAACAGCAAATGGTGATGAGAGGCCACAGGGACACTTCGATGGTTCACGAGCTGAACAGGTGAGGTGCTGCTGTGCTGGGTGGGTGAGGGCGCCGGGGAGGTGACAAATCTCGGACAAATCTGAGACCCCTTTCCGCTCCAAATGCCAAGATTCTTCCCATTGAGCTGTCGCCTTTCGTAGTAACGCAGCAGGTGAGAGATTCACCTGTCGTGTCTTTCATTCAAGTGGTGTAATGAGGGAATTTGGGTTGAATCTCTTCTGTGTTTGTAAAAGGAAGGCACCTTGATTTTTACAGGCGTTTAATTTACCAGTACTGAACTGAGGTGACACTACAAAAGCAGTATTTTATGCAGTATTGCAAAGCCTGCAGACCTATATTGAAAGGTAGATTTCATAGAATCGTGGAATGTCCTGAGTTGGAAGGGAGCCACAAGGATCATTGAGCCCAACTCCCATCCCTGCCCAGGACAACCCCAGAACTCACACCATGCGTCTGAGGGCCTTGGCCGAACGCTTCCTGAATGTTGTCAGGATTCGTTGTCAGATTTATCCCTCCGTATTTAAGTCAAAGCAGTTACTCGCGGTCCTGTGGAGGTTACGTAGCGTGCACATATATAAAATTCTTCTACTTTTAATTGTAAAGCTTTGCCAGTGTTCAGTTAGTCACAGAGCTTTCCTATCAGTGAATATTTGTTTTCGTTTCTACTTTGTGCAAATATGGAAGATAGTAAGAGCTAACGGCAGAGTTGCATTTGCAACGCAAAGTTTGTCGCTCAGTATTCGAGTTGGTTGTCTTAGTAGTAGGTGTATTGTTAGAATCCTTGGATGAAAATTCACGATTGTGAATACTTTTTTCTGTTGTTGTTGCTGGTGCAGGTATATCCCTACCGCAGCTGCATTTGGTGGTTTGTGCATCGGTGCCCTTTCGGTATTGGCTGACTTTCTAGGAGCCATCGGGTCCGGCACTGGCATTCTGCTCGCGGTCACGATTATTTATCAGTATTTTGAAATATTTGTAAAAGAACAGGCTGAAGTCGGAGGAGTAGGTGCATTATTTTTCTAGATGTCCAAATATTTCATGGTTTGTGTGAAAGGGAAAGTATTTTGACAACATGCGTCATTTAGTCCAATAACGCTATTTTCTTTTTACTTGTTTTAAAGTGCTACATGTCCCATTACTGTAATGGGCGTTGAGCAATGCCTGTGTGCAGCATTAGTACCAGCTGCCTTAAGAATAAAGTTTACATTATCTTGTTTAAGTATTCTCTAGTGTTGCCTGTAATGCTGGAAACCAATTCATCTACCTTGCTGTTCGAACACTACAGTGAGATGGTAAAGCGTATCAGTTTGATATCGGTAAACATTTTTGCACACAGCATTAAAATGTTAAATTTGTTTCCCTGTCCTTAATAGGAAAACAATAAAAATCTGAGTTCAGATTGCCACGTGCCAGTATTCTTGACAAAATTTATTTGTAGCCTGTATTTTACATTAATTTTTTTATACTTTTTTAACTTGCATTTCCCCATCGTTGAACTCGGCGCTCCTTATTCCTTTGTGGTGTCTCCACCCAGCCACCTTTCTCTTAGCTCTAAGGGTGGACAAGCAAACATTTTACCGGAGACTGATACTCATCTCACCTGTGAACTGGTTCTGTGGCCGATTTGCTGCCTCCCCGGGCCCGGGGGCACGTCAGTTTGTTGCCCTGGGCCTCCTGCGAGGCGGGGCGGTAGCTGCTGTCCCGCTAGCCGGTTAGCCCAGTAGTTTTGTTGACACATGTACTTGTGAAAACTGTGCCACTGAAACGCCACGTCCACTTCGCTTCTGCGAGTCCGAGGAAGGCGGCCTGGTTCCTCAAGCAGTGTTCAGAGAAGGGAAGGGGGCGAACGAGGAGTCCCTGCTGAAAATTTATTTATGTTGTCGCACTTTACAGTGGCAGTGTAACAACTGTAAACGTTAGACAATAAACTTATTTAATTAAGCTCTCTCCTGTGTCTTATCTGTGCAAGATGGAATTCGTATGCAGTTTTTGATCATTCCTAACGTGCTTTCTTAGTGAGGAAGGTCCTTTTTTTATCTTTATCCTTTCTCTTTATAGTTCTGATCGGTTTTTAGCAGCCTTAATTACAAAACAAATCTCACCATTCCTCTCCTTAAAATCATTGAGCTTTTCTGCTCAGCTGTACTCAAGGACTCTTTCTCTTTGATTTCACATTTTGATCTCTTCTGTCTTCTCTCATGCTTAACTTGAAAGTAACTCTGTGGTGTTTGTGAAGGCAAGAAAATCCCAAGCAAGTTTTCCGCTTCATGTCTAAGCTAGGCAAGCCTTCCACATTTCGTTCAGAGGCAAGACTTTGATATTAGCGTATGCTTATTACAACTCGTAGACCCTAACCTTTAAGTAGGGGTGGTTTACACAGTCAGCAGCAGCCAACTGCGCTGGAGGTCTGTTTGGCGAGAGCTTGACCTAGGTTCGGCCGAGCGAAGGTGCTGCCTGGGAACACGGATGTGTCCGAGGGAGAACCGCGAGGCTGGGCTGGCCCTGCCATGATCAGACTCCCCTGGCAGGGTCCTGCACTGTTCTGGTTTGCACCACCGGCTGTTTTGCTGTCACCATCATCACCATCGTCAGAGTCTCTATTTTCTTAGCTCAAACCAATTTTTCTCTTTCCGGATAGCTTAAAAGGAAGCACCATCTTCAGGTGTCAATCATTACAGGAAATTCCCGAACCTGCAGTTTCAAGCCCAGCAGCCAGAACGTCCATGCGGTGTCCCGCCGGCTGCTCCTACGCCGGAGAGTCCCTGCAGTTGTTCGAGTGCTGCTGCTCACGGACAGGCGTTGTTTAAACGCTGCTGCCCGAACAGGCGGTGTGGCACCACCAGCTACGCTCCCTTAAGCCTCTTCAACGTAAGCGCAATGATAACGCACTGAGCCATTCTGAAAATTAAAGAGCATTTTTATTACGATTATTCTGTCAAGGCTTGATAGACCGAGCAGTTAGAAGAAATGCTTATTCCAGAGAAAAATATCAGAATCATTCCTACAAATCCTTTTGTTTTGCTCTACAAGTAAAGCTAAAGGGCCTTTATTACAAGAAGAGTTCTGCTTCGAAGCCATCTGAATTGGGCGGTTTCCACCTACGTTTCTCATTGCCCAGTTTTAGAACTTCATAAAAGGAACTTGGAGCGGTTTTTCTGCTGCATGCTTCAGGGCCAAGGCGTAAGTATAAACCCTGGCATCCACTGCAATATGTTCTTCTGCTATCAGTTCTAGGGGGAAAAAAAAAAAAGAAAAAGTAGGAGATGCTGTAAAAAAGTTTCCTCTACAGGCATCTGAGTCCTTGACTAAAATGAAGACGTACAGCATTCCAGACATGAATTGTTAATGCAAACACCTAACGCTGTCACTAACGCTGTTACCTGGCCAAGCCTCTCACAGCTTTTTGGTTAAGATATAGAATTCTAGGATGAGAAATGCCACGAGGAGCCATGAGAAGAGAAGCTAAAGGTTTCTTGATGCTCAAATTAGTGCGCTGAATGTGTCAGAAAGCTCTTACCATCAATTCTTTGCAGTAGGTCGTTTTTCGGAAGCGAAATAACTTCCACAAATTCTAGGAGAGAAGAAAAAAGGTTTATGCACCTTTAATTTAGTGAAGAGTAGAGGAAGTCTGCCTCAGTGTCCTGTTTCTTACAGCTTGGAAGGGGACACAAACTGGCTCAATGCTCACCACCATCCGAAAGCGGTGAGCCTTCATCTGTCACAACAAGGCCGACTAAATGGGGGCAGGCAGTGACCGGGCTCATTAAAAAACAGGTTTGGCAGAAAGAAACCAGGAAGGAGCTGGGAAAAACACGGTGGAGCTGACAGCCACGGAGGACAAGCATCCTTATAAAAGGAGACCTTCTCCCTTCTGAGAATGGAAAATACTGTGTTGAAGCAGACTTTGGTTTGGCTCACGCTGGCAGAGTAACAGGTTGTAGATGCATTTGAAGACCAAACCAGCAGACAAAGGGTTTGTTCTTGGTGAATTTGTGTTGACTCACACCTCCCCTGCCTATCTGAATTCCTTGTCTTGGGGCTTGACCGACAGCTGCTGTGCATCCAGCAGTTTGTATTCCCTGAGATGCGGGTGCTACAGGTGCAGTACTTGAAGGTAACTGATGCCATAATGCCCCACAGGAATCTTCCTGTCTAGGCCAAAGCCAATCTCGTGCATGTTTGATTAGGGTCAGGAGATTAACCAAGCCCAAATAAAAAACAGTTTTAACCAACATTTTCTGAGTAAAACTTGCCACACAAAGCTCACACTTGACCTTACTGCCCCTGTGAGCACAGCTACGTAACGTACCTCCATCATCTGTAAGCAAAAAAAAAAAAAAAAAAAAAAAAGAACTTAGTAAGTTAAGGATTTTGAAATACACTTGAGTTTACAACTAAAAAGCATTTCGATAGCTGACTGATGTGAGTGACACTGCAGTTACCGCCAGGGTCAAGCCACAGCAAAGAGGAAGATCTAGGTTCACAAGTGCTGATGGCCCTCACTGAAGTTTGGCACCTGAATCTCTCATTCTGGGTGTGCCAACACCTGACGCTTGACATTTAGGCCTCCCCAGTGAATTTAGGAAAGAAACACGGCTCAGCTTATCTAGACTGCAGGGTATGACTTGAAGGACGTACAGCCTCTAACCAGCTGGGAGAGAAGACACCCAGTCATAGGGGTAGTTCTTTTAAACCCACTGTTTTGTTGTCTTCTCCAAATTTTCAGATAAATGGTACAAAACTCACCAAGTTTTTGCTTAGGTCTTGTGTTCTCAGCCTCATCTCCATTAATGGTGACGCTCACGATGTGTGTCGTGCTGTTTGACAAACCTGGGTCCAAGCAGAGAGCTGCCGACAAGCACGCGCAGAGGTTAATTTTTCAAAAGCAGAAGTCGGGCACCTTGCTATTTTAACAAAAGCTTTCACAGAAATATATCTGATACAACAGGAGAACATGTATTTGGCAGAAGTTCACACTGGAAGAGTTGTGAAAAGCTTGTTTTCACATGTTCTTAAAAGTACTGTTTCTGTAACTCTCAGCTCTTTCACAGATTCCTCCTAAGACTTGTTTTCAGCACCGAGGTTTACTTTCCATTCCGTAGAGTGCAGACTAAACTGTAAACTGGAGCTCCCTTACAGACCTCCTCAGCCTGATTTTGCCATCCCGTCGCCATCCCTCAGTCCCCGGTTAACGCGGTTGTACCGGATAACCAAGAGGCACATCTCAGCTGTAATGACATGTACTCGAAATCCTGTGCAAGCTGCCTCACCTTTCTACCTACCTTCTCGAGTTTTATTTATCATCCTCGTTTTGCCTTCATTTTCTTTTATGTAGGAAGCATTGGATTGGCAATAACCATGTTCCAAAGGATCTCTGGATTTACTCCAATTATTCTCTCCTTTCCGGTTGGAGAACCTGAGTGCCGTCGCTGTGGTGACCTCCACTCAGACCCCATCACGCAGCCGTTTTTTCTACCTAAGTTCACGGCTGTTCTCCACATTAAGTCCAGCAATTTAGACCTTTATACTAACACGCCAATCACAGCCTGAATAATCGGGTTTTGTGTCAAGGATCTCAATAGCAAAGTTTTCCCCTGCAGACATGGAACTGTTACTTTAGTCCTGTACGTTTAACAGGAGTTCAGCAATGGACTCATAGAGGACCAAGGTCTCATCGGTGCAGCCACGGGATACTGCTCTCTGCTAATCTGCCTAGACTTTTCTGCATAGATTTTTCCTTTGGTTTAGAGCGTTTCAGACATTTAGAGTAGCCATCACAGACAGAATTAGCTTTGGAAAAATGAAAAAAAAAAAAAAAAAAAAGCCAAGACCTGGAGTACATTCAATGACTTCTCCCTTGTACCCAGTTTCTTCCTCCAACTCCCGCAATGCCGCGCTTTCTGCAGTCTCATTTTCCTCAATGAGGCCTGTGAGATAAATAATACACAAGAGCAATTAAAAAGTTAGCACTTAACCACAATACCCGCCCCGAGATCTAATCCAGCTTTACGAATGAGGTGAAACATTGTCACTAGCCTGTTTTTACAGAGGGATAAACTGAGGCCTTAGGAAGGACTCCAGTTCCAGGATTCATCATGCTGCTGCCCACGTCTTCAACTGGTCATCTACAGGAGCATGCTGCCTTCCCAGGAAATGGCATTAGTATTCTCATGAGGGACAGAAGCCAAATGCTTTGGCTCTTACAGAAAGGAAGAGTGGAGGGAAATGCAATATTCTACTAACAGGATACTGTGCAAAATGCCTCCAATCTGTTAAAGTGAACTATGTTTCTTTTGTATTCTTCATTATCAAATATTCCTATTTTTGAATAGCATGGTGAGCTACAGAGCTCACCACCATTTTCTGGTTAGAGCTACTCCATGAAGATTGACGCTCCAAGCGCATCTAAACACACTCCGCTGTCAGCTTTATGTGACTCATCTTAATGTTTCAGTCACTTACCTGCAGGGAATTCCAAGCAATAGCTGTTAATCGGGGGCCTGAACTGTTTCACTAGGACAACGCAGTCGTAGTGGAGAGTTCTCTGTAGTACAGCTATCACTGCTACGCCTACAAACAGCGACGGAAGACACAAGTACATAGTATTTGAGTAGAGCAGAAAGTGAGTATTTAGTGCTAGATCTGGAAAGGAACCCAAGGACTGTTACTCTGAGCATTAAACGTTTAGATACCTGCTCCGGAATCCTGAACTATGAATTTAAGCTCCTTATACCACGCGCGGTGAGAGATAAAACCCCAAAACAGGATCTCCAAAGTACCCCAGCAAACGAGAGGCACGCGTACCAAGCAAGACCGAGCCTTAGCCCACCAGTGTCTAGGGAAGGGCTCTCCTGCCTGCAGAGACTGCTTGGAAGCCGTTGCATGGGACCCCCTCCTCCTATTTCGTGGCTAAATCACATCCCTCTTTTGCCCAAAGAGAACTGTATCCCTAGCGCCTAAGAGCAGACCCGCTTCACCAGTCTGAGCTACTCTGTATCAGGGCACCCATCCTGTCTCTGAAATTGCTCGGTCGTTCTAAAGTGAATACAATGATCGTGGGAAAACACTCCTACCAGTAAGGTTCTGATTCCTCAGCACCGAAGTTAGCATTTCATTAGCTCAGGGGTACAGCAAGCTCTGCTGAGCTATTCGTTCCGCATCCTCAGTCATTCAGAAATAGATCGGCTCTAACTCTGTGCTGTGAGTTTATCAGAAGAACTTTCACAGGAAAAAAAGCAAACAAAAAAAGTCACCAATGTCTTACCATCAGCTGAAATGCCCTTTTTGTTGCCAGTACGCTTTACCGTTTCCCAAGTTCTGTTTAACACAGAGAAAAGAACAAATGAATACGTTAAGAGGAACAATATCCATTTTATTTGTAAAAGTCGTCTTCTACCCTTGCTACTGTCATTTAAAAGCAAAATATACCATCACACAGCGAGGCCCGATAAGAAAACAGCTGGCCTTAGGCAAGCCCTGTCATGTCCTGGCACTATAAAACGTCTGCAGTATAATTTTGTTTTGCCTACTTTAAGGAAGGAGAAAGAAAGACATAAATAATTGTCACAGAACAGGCAAGTCTTACAAAAGTGATCCTGGAAAAGTGCAAAATAAAGCAATTTATATATCAAACATATCAGATTTTGAAAGACAGTTTTGTAGCAAGACCATGTGCATTCTATCTTTTATCTTGCTTTTGCACAAGGTTTATAGTGTAAGTTACTGTGAACTCTCAGCTCAGTTACTTGAGCACACGAGGAGCACACAGGCAAGGAAGACCAAAGCTTCTCTCTCGAAGTAAGTAATGGGATGAGTAAAAACCAAAAATCTGCCAGCAATAAAAATCCTTTTACAAAATCTCCAGTCTTTGCTATTTTTCAAAAGGATACTTTGCTGATGAACGGGGAGTCACTAGAGAAAGCAATCAGTACTGAATCTAATCCATTAAGAGGAGGGAAGTAAAGCCGTGTTGTCACAACTAGATAAATACAGCAAAACTAAAGCATAGAAAAGAACTGGACAGGCGTGATAATATACAAGAGGACGGTAACTTGTCAATAGCATGCAAGATCCAGCACCATCAGCAGGGAAAAAGAAGCCCATAACGAAGAAGCAGAAAAGCCATGGGATCCTCACAGCCCGTTTGCATAGCTAGAGCTTGCTGCACAGCGTCTTTACAAGGAACAGAAAACGCAAGGTAAACCAGGGCCCAATGTGCCCAAAAGAATTTAGGAGCTTAATTTGATCTAGCACATCTGCCAGAGTAAGGTTTTTTTCTTTGAACTGTACAAACTATCAAGGAATTGCACAATGAATAGATCTCATCTCGTGTTGAGTAACAGGTTTGTAATGCTCACATTCTCTAGCCTGGGGCTGGTCCGTACAGTTGGGAACATTATAGGGGTCTGAAATGCCAGAGAGGCAGTTACCTGGTTTTACCAAAGGGATCAGTATAAGTTGTTTCTTCAAGCTTCAACCATTTTCTTTCTACAATTACCTAAAATAAAGAATTCTTTGTTAAATACATTATAAGATTAATCCCAAAGATATTTGGGGGCTAAGGGGAGAAACAACACAACTATTTTTGGATTCCTTTGAAGACAAAATCTCAGCACCAGAATACATGCAGGAACACGCAACAGCATTCCTGTAGCTATTACAGAAAAAAACATTTACTCCAAGTTCTTGAATAGGAATAGAAAATAAGCCCAGTAACTTTTCTTAATGTGACTTTCATAACCATGTTTCAGTGAATTCAGTGGGATTTTATGTGCTAGAAAGTCCTCCTCTTTTTAGAAGGATTTTGCAAAGGTCATGTTTCAGCTGAAAAAGGGTCACAGACTTTAGCTACGCTGGTGATTACGAGTGCCCACTTATCAGAGAGCATGGCCTAATTGTTAAGCATGCAAGACTGAAATCCAAACTATTTTGAAACTTTTCTTGCCGTGATCTCAGACTGTGGCCTTGTGTAACTGCTGTTTTCCATAACTGCGAGCAGTGATACATACTTGCCCTTTTAGGATTTCTCAGAGCTGCTGATTGAGTGCTTGGCATTAACATTATTACAAAATGTCTTTTCTGAGCTAAATGAGTTTATTTGCCCTGTGGTGTTTCCTCATCTTTTATGTAATTCCTTTAAAAGGGAAAAATCCCTACATATTAGCCCAGAAGTTTACTTCATTTAATAACTTTTATTTTAAGCTTTGCTAAAGGTATAGGCAGACAAGAAGCTCGTCTCCAGAACTTTGTATCAAGTTGGCCATAGGTCCGACCACAGAAACCAGAAGTAATCAGTAAGATGAACAAATCACTTGCTATTGTCTAATGAGACACACTGCTGACAGCAAGGGAGCAAGCACAAGCAGGGGGAAAAGAGGACAACATTAAAATGTAGCAAAGGTTGAAGTCTGAGAGGCCATTCAGGTGGTTGGCACGCTACAATCCTCTAGGGCAGGACAAGGAGCAAACAGGGCCCGCGTGGCCGTGTAGATCTTGAACTTAAAACTGAGAGATTCACCAATTAGAAAAAGAATATAGAGAAATGAAATGTAGTACATGATGCAGCTGTAACTAGAGTACAGAGGCACAGTACAGCATCAGCTGGAGGTAGAAGGCAAACCAGAAGTGATTCAGGCATCCAGTAAATTATAACTGAGCTGGGTGAACTCATGTAATTCTTAAAATGTGTTCTTCAGATCAATTATTTTGATAGGCAATTGAAATAACAATAGCACTTCTATGGCTGTAAACACAGCTACATGTATTTTACATGTAGGAGTTTTGGCATTTGTTTTGGAAAGCATAATCTTTCCATGTAACAGGAACTGGAAAATGAAAGCTATGTGTTCTCAAAAGACTTTCTAATGGCTTTGCGCTCACCAAAACAGCAGGAAAGGAGAAGCTGAAGTATATTATGCTCATTACAAGTACAAGAAGTAATTCCGTTTGGAAGCGCTCAGCTATATTTTAAATAGCTTTGCATTCACTCCTAAATCACTGCAGAACTAGAGTACAGGAAGATCCAAAAGAGAAATAGATGAAAATCAGGTTCCATTGGTTGTCCAAGGAGAGGAATATATACACTTCTGTTAAGTAAACACAGCCAAATGTTTTGTGTTAATGAATTTTTTTAAACATTGCAGAGAACACAAAGGACTAGGTTATTGATCGTGGTCTCATATTGCTGCAGCATTCAACAGAACTGGCAGATCATCACCCCTGACACCAAGTTAGCGTTTGCTAAGCAGACAGGGGAAAATGGCTGAAATCAGGACCACATCACTGTCCCCAGGAATCTCTGAGGAAAAAGAAATCCCTAGTCTGTAAGAAATGAGACCTATTGAAGCTCCAAAAAGATGAAAAAAAAAAAGTAGGTTTTATGCGTACAGAACAAACAACGTCAAACAAAGTGTCTTGGTTTTAATCAGATATTCTTAAGTACAGCTTTCAGCCTCTACTGTCATGAAGCAATAATTAAAAAGTACTATAGGACATGTAGCATAAATATTTACAATGGAAGTGTTCCACAATCCTCTAAAGTTTGGTGAAGCTCTTGATGCTAACAGCCTATGGGGTGAGAAATCTGAAAGTTGCCAGGTTTCCCTAGAAGAAAAAGAGAATTTTGTCACCCGCCTCATCAGGTGCAAAATTAAAACTTGTGGAAACTGGCCCAGACGCCTAACTTCTGCTTTGTAAATCCCCTGCTTGGGGCCTAAGGACACTTTGCAGGATGTGTTGCACTTACCACACTCAGTTTTAGAATGAGTTATTTTTATTGCTTTATCTATTACCTTGATGGGCAAATAACATCTGCTGTTGCTTACAACAGCCTGACTGTGGGTTCCCAGAAACAGGAAGAAGGAACTAAGATCAGCCGCTACTTTTAACAGAGAAGATATTCCAACATCAGACCACGTAGTTACTGAAGAGCTACAGAACCACTTTTAATATAAGGGCCACTGGCAGAGGCACAGTAAATACTCTCCTGTATTAATACCACAAAATGACTGAAAAAACTAAATAGTTTAAAATATGTAAGATCTAATTACAAACTTCCAATGACACCAAAGAATACCATACTCCAAAGGAGAAGAACTAAGAGGCGTTACAAAAAAAACAAAAACAAAAAAAAAAAGGATAAAATGAAAACATGACCTGCAAAAACACAGGTCTTAACAGAAAATCCAAAAAGCTTACAAAAATGAAACACTTTATGTTTGAGAAATATTCATATTAAAAAGCCACCCAAGGGGAAAAGCCATAAATATATCCGAACAATGTGAGTCTCTTCTTTCCTGAAAAAGCTTCGTACCTTGAAACCTAAAGAAATTACAAGACTGGGTTCATTCCAAGGAAGGAACGCTGGATAAAAGAAACTACATTTGTGTTACAACAACAGCTGATGCTGTTGCCAAACCTGCCTTTAACACCAAAGATTAACTTTTAAGAATTCACTTAAAAGAGAACAGAAACAAATATAGGCAGTTTAAATTAGGGTGAAAGTGCTCCTAATAAGCACCCAGAAGTATCTCCAAATTCCTTCCTCCGGACCCAATATTTTCTGATTCTGTGAAGATGTGAGCACAATATTTTTGAAAAAATCTTACTACCTCCTTACTAATGTCTTTAGAACAGCAATTATCTAAATTCAAACCCTTTCAGAAAGCATCAAGGAAGGTACAATCCTAAATGTTAAGGCAACTCTTAGTGGTTCATCAGCTTAAAGGAATGGAAAACAAGGCTGAGTTTCCTGATCAACCCATTTGTGTAGTCTCTCAGAGGTATCGGCATTATTTCTGAACATTGAAAACAGCCTGAACAGACAATACAAGAAACAGCTGCAAAACCAAAAAAAAGAAGCTTAAAATAATGCAACACTGTAGATTTCTCTCTCCCCATTGATAATTTGTATGATTATTTCAACAAAGAGAAATGCCACAGTTTTTAAACACACTGACCATCAGGAAAAAGTGTTTTGTCTATTGAACAGACTTTACAAACATACAGCATCTACAGCATTTCTTACTCTGCACTCACAAACATTCTGATCAGTCTCAACAGCAAAACGTGTCAAAACCAAGCATGTTATACCTCTTCTTTAAGGACGAACTGTCTAGCAGTTTTTGGAACTTCTGTGGATGTCTCAGCTGCCATTTTCAGGAACGTCAGGCTTTTCCTCTCCTGTGCGAAGTCCAGATTACTATGAAACAAAGTCAATATTTGCTTTCAGAGTAAAGTTAAAAGGTTCATTTCTGCATTCTAAATTAACAAATAAAACTTGCTGGAGAAAGTTAGGGACATGTGATGGCAAGTGCAATGCACATTTCCAGCTCCACCTGATGGTTTCAGAGCCAAATAATTCAAAGGAGAAGCGGAAGTTTAGGTGAAATTCCTGACTTACATCGTTGAAATAGTCCTATCAGCTGCCAAGTAACCATGCTGGCTGAAGACACCCTCCTTAACTATTCAAAGGTCAGACGCAAGGAGAGACAAAATCGATCCATTTCAGTCAAGCTGTTTCACTCTGATCTGGGTGAAGTGCTCTGTCAACACAGCATTACCACAACAGGACTACGTGCTCCACTGTGAAAGTGGAAAAACACCTTACACCAAGAGGGCTTCAGTGGTACAAATTGCCTGCTATTGAGAAAGAATCAGAACCAGAACCTACCTCCACCTTACACATATCACAAATAAACACGTAAATGACTTAATCCTTCCCCCCAAAAACAAGGTCAAAAAGTCACCCGTGTGTTGCAAGTCTAGGTGGCACATGGAGTTAGCGTGACCAAAGCACGTCAGTCTCTCTTACTGGGAATGATGTGGCTAACACTGTGCAAAAGGCAGCTGAATACACGCCCAAGCAGGGCTCTGCACCTGCAGCTCAATGCCTCAGCCTGCATCCTAACACTCCCTAGGGAGGAAGATTGTCCACTCACTCTCTCAATCCAGTTCTAGCTGAAAGGCACAGCAGGCAGCAGAAAAATATGACGCATTAGAGATTCACCATTAGTCCCCTGTTTCACTGCGGAGCGACGGGGCGCTTTCAGCACAGAAACTCCTATTCCAAGGAAGCTCATCTCTGCTATTAAGCTGTAATACTGAAGTCCTAAACATCAGCACAAATCATAAGCAAAAAGCCAGTGCAAAGAAGCAAACCAGTTTAAACACCAGGAGAGACGAGATCATCTTAAAGATCTCTGTCATTCTTAGCATTGACGGTCATAAACCTTCCATAAAGTCAACAGGAATCTTTCCATTGACTTCAACACGAGTTTAATAAGGCTCTGTGGGCTCTCGAGCAATGAACAGTACCAGAAGTGAGCGATCACCTTCTCTGTCATACCCAGTTTTAGCACTTTCATTTTTTACTTCATCTTTATCCTTTTATGATAACACCTACTGCATGTTTGTGAAATATTTAAGAGCATGCCGCAACAATCACCTTTCTTACATACTAGATTTGCATTTAATTCCACGAAGTAGTTAAAAGGAATAGGTAGTAGAAAACGTTTCTGGTTATCAGCAGGATTAAAACTAACATACATAAATCCATTTCCTCGGTATGTACACAGGGCAGGCTCTTTCTTAAGTCTTAAGACAGTCTTGTTGGATGAAGCAGGTCATAGTGGTCAAATGTTCAAATTGTTTTTGTATAACGTAAGTCCTGAAAAGGAACCCTGACCTATTAAACCCAATTCTGTTCTTTCAAAAATACGTTCTATAATCCTTTCTTAAAGCAATGAAGCTCCATCTTAAAACTACGTAGGTTTACTATCTACCTTACTGCTATTTGTATGAAAAACTGTTCCAGAACCTCACTTGCTTATCTTCCAGTTTCTATCCCACGTTAGTTCAGTTAGCTGTTACCCATTTGTTCTTGAGCCAGCAATGTCTCAAACTCTCTTCACTTAGGATTTGAGAGCTGCAGCTGGACAACGGCCATGGCCTCTTGCTGTGACTCTCAAATACAAGATCAAGCTTTCCACCAAACCTATGCAAAAGAAGCGCAGCCCAGTACAGCAGTTCTGAGAGGTTCCTGGTCATCCAGAGGAAACAGTCAAAGGAGGCTCTGTTGTGATGCCCGAAGTTTCCAGCTTTAAAAATATAAAAACCTCACATACCTAGCCACCTCCTATGTTTGGAAAGAATCATAGCCTTTTCGATTGATAATATAAACACATCAAGAGAGTAGATAGTGAACCATTTCCTTGTTAAACTTTTTTTTTGATCGGGCTGAATAAGTCTTCCTCTTTTACTTAGTCTCCCTTCACAGGAAAGCCTGTCCCATTGATCCTACTAATCCTTCTACATAAGCTTGCAAGTATCAGCGTATCTTTCTCAAACATGGATTACCACAACTGTACCCTAAATCCCACAAGCAGCTATCGTAATGGTTTGTACAAGAGTATTAATACTTACCTATATCAGTTACAAATACATACTAGGACCTCATCTCATGGCAGAAGCTCTTTTCAACACAACTTGCTCTCTTCTGCAGCAGAAAGATTCAAGGGTGGCTTGCGACTTAAGATAACAAAAAATTATACAGCTTCAGTGGTTTGAATTATCACTAAAATCTAAAACAGGTGAAAACGAGAGGAAGATTCATCTATCTCAGCTTCTGTAGTTTTGATCTCCTCCACAAGTGGGTGCAATAACTCTATGTATGAGTGACATTTTAAAAAGTTCCACCAAAAAAGGAATTTTTTCCAAATTCACTTGACTGTATAGAAGTGAGAATTTCTGCTGTTAGAAAGCTGAAATACCATTTGCTTAAATGAAGGCTGCAATTCTGGTACCTCACATTAGTCATGCTGTTAAGGACGGCAACACCTTTTGTTCATAAACAGAATTAGCTGCAACTGAAAATTAAACTTAACACTACAGCGTTATGTTTCTAAAGCCCTATGTTAGGTTTCAGAATAGACCTTGTCTTGCAGCCCTCAGACAGGAAGGTTATTCTGTCTCATAAAAATTACCACTGCATCGTTTGAGTTAAAAATTCAACACAGCTCGCACAGCAGCCTGGGAACCTGACTTACGATTACATGAACTCTAGGAATATAAATTCTCAATAGTTATCAGTGCAATTTTAAGAGTATGTCCAAGTGTCCACATTTATCAGCCTTCTTAGCATGAATCAACAGCACTTGAACTATAAATTGTGGAAAAAAAAAAATGTTTGGCCAGCTGCTACCTTCTCTGATGATTTTTGTGGCTAGTATTACTGGCTACTGCTGGCAAATCATGCTACTTGTTCTATTTATTTCATGTGGGGGTCAAACTCAGACCTGAAAAAGGCGTACCATTTATAAACAGTATAACTTTATTGCCATTGCTTATTCCCTTATTGAGTGGCCTCCTTTCAAGGCAATGTCCAACCATTCTACAGTTTCCAAATTATCCTTCCCAGGACCTAAAATCTTAAGCCAGCTGAGGCCTGTGAATCAGATTAGAGAGCAGCCAAGCTACCGGGGCTTTACATTAACCTATCCAAGTCACAACAGATGGATTAGCTTTTTTAAATCACTTTTCAAAACATAATTCTCTGATCCAAACTACACATCTCAGCTGACAGCAACCAGATTTAATGGAAGCTCAGCAATGGTGTCCTAAGGCAAGCTCAAGATAAAACAAAATACAGGGTTTCTTATAAAGAATGTGCAAAAGGGACACTGGCAGCGTTTTATGTACGATTTAACCAACAGCACGCTGAGCTACGTGCGCTGAAAACAAACATCACTAAAAGCTCCTAAGTCACTTTAAACTTGTTAGCACCGGTCAGTGCACTTGCATTTCACCAATATGATTCTAGCAACAAAATCAATTAATTAGCAGACGTTGATGGGAGAGAGGGAGAAGGAAAAAGTGGGGAAAACGCTTCATTTTTGTCATGGTATTTAGCAGCATGGATGACCCGCTCCGCACCAAACAAAATATAGAAAAATAAGTGGTTCTTGCCCTGCAGAACCGACAACAAGAACAAATATTGTCACGCATAAGCAGAAGAGGGTTAGCAGCATCTCTATATTGTTATCAACCTTCCAGACAACCGATGTGTGAGAGGGCTTGGGGAGATGGCCCCACTGAGACACGAGAGCATTTGAGGAAAGCATTGGATGGAGACGACCCAGCCCTCCACACAGAGATGACGGCAGAACCATGGGGCTTAAAAAGAACATATTATTCAGTTATTACTTGCCACTCCCCAACATCAAATGAAATGCAGCCCTGCTTGAGGAGAGAGAGGAAGCTCTGCCGCTGCAGAGCTCCGTTACAACACTGGAGAGGTGAAATCTTACACAAGCACATGCAAAACAAGAAAGCAAAGCCTGCTAGGCGGGAAAACCGCCCACGGCTTCCCTAAAGCCACCCGTGTTTTCAAGGTAACCGCCTAGCAACCCCCCGCTCGGGCCACGCACACGTACGAGGCCGGGAGAGCGGCCCGGCAGCTGAGGGAAGCCGCTACCGAGCGCGGGTGCGGCCGGGCGGGGCGGGGGGGGGCGGGGGCGCGGGCCCGGGCCGGGGGCGGGCCCC